TTGTTTGTTGATCATGGGAGTTTGCTGTAGGATTTTTATTGCTTCGTGAATTTGGAGAGTTGTGAAGTCGTTAAATATATTTTTAATAAAATAGATTAAGAACTGTTATGAAACCAAAACCACAATTAAACTTTAATGTTTACAATTTTTTGTTGATTAAACACACCACGAGTAAAAACCTACTTGTTTTCTGGGAATTGTATGCCATTTTCCAAAAATCTGCACTTTGAGTAAGTCCCCACTAAAATATTGCACTTCATCTTCCAACCTATTAAACACTTGGCAAGCCAGTGAATGTGGGAATAACACTGTATAATCTAAATTAAGATTCTCATTGGATATTTTCTTCCATTTCAATGCTGCCAGATTGTCTGTTTTAGCAGCTACCAGATCCAATAGGCACTTGTTATCTGTGGACTGGGCAGAGTTACTTTTGCCCGTAGAACTTTTTTCACTTGTACCATGCAAGTTACTGGTATTTGGAACAGTCTCTCTTACTGGAGATTGGTTGAATTTGATTTCTGTAATAGCAAAAAGTAAAACTCTATTCATACTCAAAAAAAGTATTATGTTTTCTCACAGATTAAAAGATGTAATTAGTATTATATATATTGTTATATTTTTGCTGTGATCTCAATTTGGTGCATGACACATGGCAAATAGTTATGCTTGGAAATATCATCTCTACCAAATCCCCAAACAGATTCATCATCTGACATATCCATTTTATTATTTAAAGTAATTCAGATACTACATTTTACTGACAATGCCCAACATAAATTAAGTCATTGTGATAGTATACCAGGTGTTAGTTCCCTTGCATTTTACATGCATTAAGGTTTATCAAGAATGACCAAAATAAATTATTAAGTCTTTGAAATAGTATAAAATCTGTTAAGTCTTTCTACTTTTACATGAGTTATTAAGTTTTATTGACAATGCCTGATATAAATCAGTAAGTCCTTATGACAGTATAACAACTGCTGGATCCCCCTAGATGTCCATGTATTTTTAAGTCTTACTGACAATGCCCAACATAAATGATTAAGCCTCTGTGACAGTATAACTGTTAGCTCCCTCTAGTTGTACATAGATTAGTTAAGTCTTATTAACAATGCCCAACATAAATTAATTA